TTACTTGTCTTCTATCAAGAAACAATATTAAAATTTTCTACCGATTTAGAGCAGGATTAAGTTCTTCATTATAACCCTTGGTAGCTAATTCTGGGTCACAATATATAAGCTTACTTTAAATTTTAAAACATTGAAATATACTTTTTATATAAAGTTATGAAAATTGAATATCATTGGTTGTTTACTATCAACAAAGCAGTTTCATCAAAACATGATTCATAATTAATAAACTAGTTCTCAAAAATTAGAAGACAAGTAATTACAAAGAACTCAGTAGTTGAAATGATTTTTTGGTTTTAGTCTCAACAGAATATTAAATTTTAATAATTGCTATACTTATTAAATTTACTGATTAAAATGTTTGACACACAAAATCTTTTGTGCATAAAATGTTTCTATGTTTTATGTTGATGCTAATGTAATTCTGTGCTTTTGGGTATTTTGCAAAGAAAAATTAACTATTTTAGAATTTATACACCTATGCACTTTTTAAAGCGCAGGTTGGTTGTGCTGCTATCCTGTAAAACACTTAATAAGAATATATAAAAAGAAAACCTGTAGCATCAGAAAAAATTCTTTATTTTGTTCTCCCTGAGCACCCCCCCTCCAACTACTCTGTTAATTCCTTGGCATGTTATAGCTAAAGGCAATTTCTAAAATCTTGGGATAGATCACTTTTTGAATATTGATAATTATTTTGACCTTAACTGTTGATTAGGTAACTGTGATATTCTTGTTATGAACAAATCTCTTTACTTTTCATTTTTTTACTCATTCTTGTTAACATTTTACCAGATATATTTATTTACATTATAACTTGAATTTATAGGACTGTGATGAAAAACAAGGCCAAATTGATCGAGCCATTAGGGGGAAAAAAGCTGTGGAAGAAGAACTAGAGAAGGTAAAAAGGAAGCTTAACTACTAAAGCCAAACTGCAGATATTCAGCATTACTGTCCGCTCTCATCATAGTACTAGCAAACCTTATTAGTACTCTCCTGGGGAGTGTTTTCATTTTCTTCAACTATAATCAGAGTCTGCATTTAAATATTAATATTTCTTTCCAACATGGCCATATTCTTTCAACTTTGTGCTTCAGGGTATACCTTCTTTAAATTATCTATATTCCTTGCTCTAGCCTCATTTCAAAAGTAAATTTCATTTTGTTTGTTTTCTTTTTGAAGTTTATGCCAGTTCTTACACTGAAGTTAGGTCATTTATCAATATAACAGATATATATATATATATACACATACACATACATATCCAAAAATAATGACATTGTTATGTTTTTACCTTTATGGATGTATGTGTGCATCTTTGAGTGTATGTAGGGCATGTGCATGTGTTGTTTGAAGCCCAGAGGTTGACACTGGATGTCTTCCTCAATCCCCTTCACCTTATTTTTGAGACTAGGTCTCTTACTGAAACTGAAGCACAACTCAGCTAGAGCTAGCCCTGGTTGCCAGTAGCCCCAGGGATGCACCAAGTCTCTGCCTTCCCAATGCTGGAATTACAGGTGCCTGTTACCACACCTGGCTATTATATGGGTGCTAGGAAATTAATTCAGGTACTCATGCTTGTAACAGCAAGCACTTTACTGACTGAGCCCTTTCCTAGCCCCTGATTTTTATCTTTTAGGAATATAATAATCAAGTAAAATGTTTACCCTTAAGATATAAAATTAAAACTATAACATAAAATACTTTCTTACATACTTTTTCATTAGCAGTGAATATCCCACTGTTTAAAGTAACTTGAGTAAGAAAGAGAAACCAAATATGGGGACTTACTCTATTTTAGGTGCTATATCAGGAACTTGCATAGAAAGGCTAAGTAACTTACTCAAGGTTAAAATTGCTAAGCAAGGGACTGGAGAGATGGCTCAGCAGTTAAGAGCATTGACTGCTCTTGGAGTTTGATTTCCAGCACCCACGTGATGGTTAGCAACCGTCTGTCCAGTTCCAGGGACTCCGAAGTGCTCTTCTGACCTCCATGGGCATTGCACAACACAGGTACACTTATACACATGCAGGCAGTGCACTCATACACATAAAATAAAATGTAAAACAATAAAATAAAATAAAAAATGTATATATACTAAGCAATAATTAGGCATGGTGGTACACACCTTTAATCAGTACCTGGGATCAGAGGAAAGCAGATTTCTGAGTTTGAGGCCAGCTTGGTCTATACAGTGAGGCTCTGTCTCAAAAAAAACCCTATTATTATTATTAT